GAGATGGAGAAGAGAATGATTCTTTCCCATGTTTCTCCCATATCCTATTTAGACAAACAGGCCCCTTGAACCGTCTCCATCTTCCCGACCACATGTGACATGCCTTAGGAGGGGTTCTGATGTGCAGATTTCTGAGACCTAGAAACACCTACCTTCCATTTTCCAATGCAACAAATTCCAGGAAAGCCATGAGCATGTGCATTCACTCCCATGTTCTCAGGTGCCTCGCCTGTCACTCAAGGATCACAAGGTCTGCAGGGCAATTGAATTTCAAACTAAAATGGATGTGAAAACAGCTGAAGTCCAGCAAGCACTTGATAACTGCTTCTTCTGAAGGCAAAATATGATTCTTCTATGAAGTAACAGGCTCCTTCTGTGCTTAAATAGATAGATATAAGGTTTGAAGTGTAGATTCTTGTGCTATGGTTTTCCCGTAAAAGAGGGAAATCTTGAAATCACAGCACTTTTGTGGTAAGGAGGATGTCAAGCAGTGCTTAATAAGATGTACATGACCATAGCAGAGTTTCCCCACCCATTTCAGGGAAAAGTCCCCTGAAATTAATCCTGAGGCTCCTCGCCTGTCCCCAGGGACCTAGATGAACCCTGGCTAATGAATATTTAAATATCACTACTCGTCTGCTCTCACACTCAAACCCTGATTCATGACTGTACACTTTCCATCTTGCATGGAATAAAGAGAGATCATAAGTCCACAGGGTATAGCTCCATGCCACATGGGGCTCCTCTAGACATTAGCACTATAGTAACCATATTAATAATGGCATTTTATCATTGCCAAGCTTTTATTAGATATTTATCAGTGCTTTGCACACTTTAGCTCATTACATTCTCCCATCAGTCTTATGAGACTGGCACTATTATAGCTCCCATTTTACAGATGAGCAAACTGAAGTTTAGGCAAGTTCAATAGCATGCTTCAAGTAACAGAGCTGGCGTGGGTGGGCCCAGGATTTAAACTCACAATCGTCTGGACAGCAGCACCTAAACCCTTAGCCGCAAGACTGGATGGCCTCATGAGGTACCTGGTGGTAGCAGGACTCAATGAACCTGACTCTTCCCAGAAGCTCATTCCTGCACCAGCGGTGGCAGTATGGGCAATTTACTTGCCCTCTTGAAGCCTGAGTCTCTTTGTCTAAAATAGGCAGAATAAACTCACAGCAATGAATGAGTTGTTGACTCTCAATACATGTTGATTTCCTTCTCTCTTGGAAATCCATCTGAGCAGAAAACTGAGTGGACCATTTTAATGTCAGCGAGCTTGTGGGTCACACAGCCCACAAATGCATTCCTGGTTATCCCATATACAGATGAGAATTGGGTTTACCCACCAAAGCATTTGAGCATTGACATTGTTTTAATTAATGACTTCAAGCTTTATTGGATTATGACTCTTCCCAATAGGACTACATATATTGTGACTTTAAGTGAAGCCCATGAATGTTTTGGTTTCAGGTGGCAGCCTCTGACTGTTTTCCCAGCAAAGTTAATTAAATGTACCTGACACTCTCCACGTGCCTTCCCTGTCTCACACAGTCAGGCTTGCAATCTCATGTGCTCTCTCTTGATCTATTTTTATACCATCACATAATAATTTACCTGCTAAATATATCCATCATGATGGATTTGCTTTTTTTTTTTATTAAGTTGCCTGCCAGCCTGCCATCCTCCCATAGTTTAATTGGTGTTTACTCAACTCTCTGAGTATTAGAGAGTATAGAATTACAAGACGTGGGCCCAAAGCCAGCCTCTGGTGGCTGCTCTGCTCTGTGACTTGGGGCAATCCCCTCCTGTCAATCTAGGTCTCAGTGTGCTCCTTTATAAAATGGGAGCAGGAAGCTACACTGCAGAGTTGTAGTGTGGTTTACAGAAGGTAAGGTAGTAAATGTAGTATAAATAGTAGGGATTGCCATAAGAAATGGTCCACCTTTGCATGGGTTTATTGAGTATTACAGAGTCCTCAGCACCATGCGTGCAGAGATAGGCAAAGCAGGAAGGACAATAAACGTAAGGGCTGTGGAAACAGATTGGCCCTCCTCCCAGCTCTTCCTATGTGACTTGAACATATGGTTTAACCTTGTTATGCCTCAGTTTACCGTAAAGTAGAAATAATAGTTGTACGTTTGTCATTGGTCTATATTAGGATTCCCTTAGTGGTTCCCAACTGAGGGTGACTTTGTCCCCAGGGGACACTTGACAATGTCTGCAAACATTTTTGGTTGTCGCAACTGGGGAAGGGGGGTGGTGCTGCTGGTGTCTGGTGGACAGAGGCCAGGGGTGCTGCTAAACATCCTGCAATGCACAGGGCAGCTCCCGCAACAAAGAATTATCCAGCCCAAAGTGTCCACAGTGTTGAGGTTGAGAAACTCTCATTAATTAATATAATGCATAAGCATCCTTGGCATAGTTATTGGCATAGAGTAAGTGTTTACCTTGAGGAATAAAGTTGGCTGTGTCTGGAGAGAGTAATAGAATACCTTAATGTCAGCTATAGCACTAGGATTGGAAACTGGATGCTAATTCCTCTCTCTGTTCTCTGCACACCCAGCTCCATCACAGCCTATACCCTTGTGCTGACTGTGTGCGTGCCAATCTGGCTCATCCATCTGCCAGTTCCTTGGATGAAAGGCATTAGCCTGATTCCTCTTTGAATCCCTTCTGATGTTTAGTGCTGTGACTACACACAGAACACACTCCATTATGGTCAGTAAAATCAATAGCTGCCTTAGAGGTGGTTGGCAGTTTGGTTTGAGGAGTGGTAGGGATATATGGATATAGGAGTCAATTGCTCAGAAAGCATTGGAGCTCTTACAGGAGGCACTGATGAGGGACTGGGGTAAGGAAGTGCATCCTCCAAGAACACTTGGCCCAGGCTGGAGGCTGTTCAGGCTCTCAACCCTCACAGAGGATGAAGGAGCAAGAGTCTCCTAATCGCTCCCCTGGGAAGACTGCTGGCACTTCTATGGGACAGACCCTGGGTGAGTGACTGTTCACAGAACCACCAAGGGCTGGACTAGGTCTACAAGGGACTACAGAAGTCATCTGGCTCCTGTGTTTGTCTTAGGAAAAACCAGTGGTATAGCTACATACTGGTAGAATCTGGACCAGAGCTCATGGGAACATGTCTTAATGAACATTACATCCTCACAAGCTGGCAGAGAGCTTGATACACCACAGATGCTTAGTAAGGTGCAAATGCCTCTAGCAGAGTTTCCCCTCCCATCTCAGGGAAATCAATTGTGAGGGTCCCCTCCTTGTCCCATGAGACCTAGATAGACCCTGGTCTATGAATATTTAAATCTCACTGCTTGTCTGGTCTCATAATCAAACCCTAATTCAAGATCTCAAGTCCAAAGGGCATAATAGCTTCATGTCACCTGGGTCTCCTTAGACAACAGTAGTGATTATAACAGTGGTATTAATAGTGACATAATTACTGAACTTTATTAGATACTTATTAGCACTTTATACGCTTTAGCTCATCAGTCCTATGAGGTGGGCACTGTTACTGCTCCCATCTTACAGATGAGCAAACTGAAGTTTAGGCAAGTTTAATAGCATGTTTCAAGTAACACAGCTGGTGTGGGTGGGCTCAGGCTTTAAATGCACAGTCATCTGATGGCAGCACCCAAGCCCTTACCCACAACACTTGAAGCCCTTACAAGAAACCTGGGAAGCAGCATGATTCAATGATCCTGACGCTCATTCCCACAACAGCAGTGACACGGTGGGCGATTTACTTACCCTCTTGAAGACTTAGTCTCCTTATCTGAAAAATAGGCAGAATAAACTCACAGGATTGAATGAGACGTTGACTCCCAATACATGTTGATTTTCTTTCTTCCATGGAAATCCAGTCTGTACTGAGAACCGAGTAGAACATTTCAGTGTCATGTCTCCTGATGTCCCCTAACCCAGAGCTCTGCCAGCAGCAGTATGCACAGACGCCCTGCCTTGCCCACCCTCAGGAGTCTCTGGGAACAATGAGGTTGTGTCCCTTACTTCTTGGTATCCTCCCACATTGCTTTAGCAAATTGCCCAGACCAAAATTAGGCAATAAATCCTTGCTAAATTGCATGCATAATCAGACACAGAAAAAAGGAACACATATACATATGTATATATAGTATTTATACTTGTATATTACAGAGATAGAGGGAAAAGACACCTCATTCTCACGCCTTCAACCATAAGCTCTAGTTCTCCTCCGTTTTCGCTTTTTAGATGAGACACACTGGGACATTCGGGGGCTGAAAGGAAGGACCTCCCTGTTAGAACTGCACGGCCAAGCCCTTCCCTCATGCGTTCTCTGCTCTCTCCAGCTCTCTTGCTTTCTCTTCCCCCAGGCCACGTCTTTTGATGATGACCAGTCTACTGGCATCACCATGCTGCTTCATACGTTGTGGCTCTGTGAGTTGTCTGCGGAGAAACTTGCTTAATGAATAATGACACAGTGGAAAGAACGTGAAATGTTGAGTCAGGAGACCAGGATTTGAGCCCCAGTTCTATTTATTATCTCATCAGGGTCCTTCCACTCTCTGAACCTCAGTTTCCTCTCTCATAACATGGAAACAGTGACCCCTCTTCTGCTTATGGAAATCAAATAGGATCATGACTACCAAGAGTTTCACATCAAGTGGGGCACAGATAAAAGACCTTATGAGTGCCTCCTCCATGAGATGAAAAGTCTCATGAGAGTAGAGACTATGCTTTTTACTTTTCTATGTCCTTTTGCAGTGCCTAACGCTACACAGGTGGTATGTAGATATCACACCCCCATGTAGTGCCTGCATGTTAAAATACGTGTAATGAATTCATAATAGTATACATATTGATGCATGGAGAAAGATGAACCTGATTAAAAACATAGATGCATTTCTCCTTTCCCCTTCAATTCTATTTTTCTCTTATTCCCTTTCTTTGTAGTGTCTTGTGACACAAAAGTTTTTAGTTTTGATGAAGTCCAATTTTCCCATTTTATTCTTTTATTTCATTTTATTTTATGAAAGAGCTAGGAAATAAATAAGGTGAATTAAAATGAATACACAACTAGTTGTACGGGGGATATGGAAGTCATCAAATGTGAATGGGCACACAAGCAGTGCACTGTGATCTGTACACACTTAAGTACTTTTTAAAACAGCAGAGAGGTGGACAGAGATGGGAAGAGGTGGGGGGCATGGCTAGGAAAAGGCAGGTGGAGTTGATGAGTAAAGGAGGCTGTGTAATAAGCACGATGATCAAAGTATGCTAAAATACCACCACTGCCCACCGCTGGTCACCAAAGATCAGAGGCAGCTGTAACCACACGTGTAGAACACAAGGGGGAGAGGAAGTTCCACCCAGGAACCAGGCAAGGACGAACTTCTCTTAGCACTGTTCCTCTCTCCCCGTTTTCTGCAGAGGGCAGCTATAGCCAGGGTGGTGCTGATGCAGTTTTGTTGAAAGCCTGTCTGTTGATGGTGGGCTTCAGGGACTCTCTGTGCACTTTTTTTTAATTTGTGAAGCAGTTGGCTCCAGACATTGAGTGACAGAGAGAAAGCAAACAGAGATGGCTTCTTTCTTCTATTTTTCCTTCCCAGGGGAAAGAAGGGCAGAAGTAGACTGCAAGAAGAGAACACATACAGACAAAAATAGAAAATAAAAAATTATTTAGAGAAAAAAACATCCAATGGAGGATGAATAGGAAAGGAGTGGGGTGGTGTAGAGTTTCACACCTTTGAGGAAGGGAAACAACATGAAATAAAATCAGAAATCCAAGTCTCTTGCTCATGGGAACGGTACTTTCTTTTACCTATTGGAGGGATTTGAGCCAGGCCTGCTTTGTTTATTTAGGAGGGGACTTTTGTTTCTTTAAACAGAGGTACTGGGTTAAAGGCTCTGCAGGATCAGATGGCTGTGGTCAGGCATGGTCCAGAAGCCCCCTTTTAGACCAGTGGGGAAGGGTCAGCCTTTACATGACTAAGGGACTATATAGCTCTCTCTCTCTCTCTCTTTTTTTTTTTTTTTTTTTTTTTTAAGACAGAGTCTCACTCTGTGGTCCAGGCTGAAGTACAGTGGAGCAATCTCAGCTCACTGCAACCTCTGCTGCCCAGGTTCAAATGATTCTCCTGCTTCAGCCTCCCAAGTAGCTGAGATTAGAGGAGCGCATCACCATGCCCTGCTAATTTTTGTAGTTTTAGTGCAAACAGGGTTTTACCATCTTGGCCAGGCTTGAACTCTTGACCTAACGATCTACCCGCCTCGATCTCCCAAACTGCTGGGATTACAGGTGCGTGCCACCCTACCTGGCCAGGTGTGTCTCTTTAAAGCAAACAAAATAAGGGAAAATTAAAAGCTACTGATTTTATACTGAAGGGTGAGGACTCAAATTTCAGACTAATTTTTGGTTACTAAAAAATGAATTGAAGATAAAAAACAGTTTGGAATTACTCTTGTGAATTTTATTCCATATTGCACACCAGCAAGCATTTACTAAATACCTACTGTAAATTATTTCTGTATGACATCATTATCCTGTTAGATTGGAAAGAGGAGAGATGCCGTCATGAGAAGTGTCAAGATAAGCAATCCACTGCAAGCTAGAAGTAAAGACAAAATAACTCTTTAGGTTGGGTGCAGCGCCCATACCTGTGGCTGGTGCTTTGGGAGGCTGAGGCGGAAGGATTCCTTGAGGCCAGGAGTTCAAGACCCACCCAGGCAACACAGGGAGACTGCCATCTCTAAAAAAATTTTTTTTTAATTAGCTGGATGTGATGGCACCTTGTAGTCTCAGCTTCTCAGGAGGCTGAGGCAGGAGGAGAGCTTGAGTCCAGGAGTTCAAGGCCACAGTGAGCTATGACCATGTCACTGTACTCCAGCCTGAGTAACAGAGTGAGACCCTGCCTCAAGAAGCAAACAAAAACAATTTTTTAAATAGGGTAGCTAAACAACATTCAGTTCGTACCTAACCTCAACTTTTACCTGCCCCTGTGGTTTTGGAGGCAATGAAGCTAAGGAGTCAATAGCTCCTTAAGTCCAGGCTTTTAAAAATCAGGTAACCTCAGCTGAGATTCTCTGGGTGCAGATACTCCTCTTGACCCTTGCACTGACTCTGGCTCCAGTGATGTCTTCCCTGGGTGTTGGGGGTAACAACAGACAGGGTTGAGAGGTAGGAGGTACCTCTCATCTGCCTTGCGAACCAGGCTCAGGGCAGGCACCAGGCTCCCCAGGATTAGAAGAGCATCCCCCATTCTTTCATCTCAAAGAGGCAGCCTCAGCATCAGAGCTGAATGAATTCACTCATGTGTTCATTTGTTCATCAATTCTTATATTTCTGAGCATCCCTCATATGCTGCAATGCTGGGGATACAGCTTCTAACAAGCCATGCAGGGTCTCTGCCCCCATGTGGAGACTTATATTCCAGTAGGACCAACAGATAATTCACAAAAAGATGAGATGAATTGCAGAAAATGATTAGTACTGGGTAGAAAAGGAAACTTGTAATGGAATAGTGAGCAGTGTGGAGGGTGGAGATAAGGAGACAAGACCCCTCTGGGGACTGTGACACAGAAGCAGCCAGCTGCAAGGAGCTCTCCAGGCAGAGAAAAATGCAAGTATGAAACTCCACAAACAGAGCTGGCATGCCTGATGCATAGCAAGAACTCCTTATCAGGTCTGGTCCTGGGTGGGTTCCTAGAGCTGCCTGCAATAACACTGTCAAGGAAAAGAGTCTTTGCAGGCCCCACCCCAGAGATGCTGAGTCAGCAGGGGCAAGGAAGAAGGAATCTGCAGTTTAACAAGTGTTGGGTGATTAGAATTCACCTGGCCCTGCCATCAAACTGCTCAAGCAGATGGTGACATGGGGTTAATGGCCAGAATCCTAGATTCAAACTCATTTTTATCCCATTAACTGGGAGTTTATGATTTGGTCAAGGCTTGTCAAATTGCAGGAGGAGGAGGGGGCCTCAGGAATGATTTAGGACACACACACACGCAAAAGCACAGTGATGTTACCAGGATTCCTGAAGCCACAAAGCAACATAGGTTCACCTCTGGGGTTCAGGTCAGCTGGCAGCTGGGAGCCCCAGAGGTCCACTCGGTGTGGACTGGTTCTGTAGTTTTTGCCTGGAAAGAAAAAAGAAAACCAGTTATAAATAAAATCTCAGTAAACTATCCATTAAATGTCTGGCTTTGCTTCACACCCTTCCCTGGTATACTCCTGATGACAAATTACTTGCTAAGTGTTTGTTCACCAGGTAACTAAACGGGAATACATGTTGTATGAGGTGTTTATTTATAAACCAACCAACAGCAAAGAGATGCTTTGGTTTTACAATAGTTGATCTTTAACTCTTCTTTAAGGCAATGACAACCACAGGGAAAAGTTGTATTTTAAGATCACTGAGTTTCCAATTATAATGTCATTTGTTTATTAGAAAAGAATGTTTTTTCCCCCTAATTATAAGGGGGTATGGTGGCAGTGGCCTGTACCTAGCACATGTTAAGTAGAAAATTAGCATTAGAGCTGAACTGATGGTAGATCTCAGCTTCCTTAACTCTCCTGCCTGTTACTCTTTGCAGAGGCAGGAGGCTGCACTCTCAGCTTTTGACCCTCCCCAGAAACCAGGCCCAGGGCTGGCCTTAGGTTCCCCAAGGTTAGAAGAGAGTCCCCCTCCTTGCATCTCAGAGTAGCAATCTCAGGGTCATAGAAAGTAAATTAATTCCTGACTTCATTTATTTATTCATAAGTGAATAAACTTGCCACAGCAGAAATCTGGGCATGTGGTCTAATAAGGGGTTAAATTGCCTGATTTGCAAATGAGTTTGTCTGAAAAGTTCTTTAATGTTTTGTCATATACTTCACCAAAAAGACCATAATTATACACAATTAGGTCTGTGCTTGAAAATCTGGACCAAATTGACCCACTCTAAAACCAATCTGTTACCTCTAGTGCCAAGCAAATAGGTATTGTAAATCTGATCGAGGAGGGGAATGTTTAACCAACTAAGTAACACAAAAACATTTTTAAGAATCATAGGATATCTGATGCCTTTATGTAAACCATACTGCTAATTGCTAATGAGTATTATCAAAGAGGGTTTTTAAGAACAGATATATAGAAACATTTTATTAGCCATCAGGTTGAATTGCTACATATGCTAGAAAATATCAAGGCAGTATTTCTTGAAGAATATTCTATAATTCAGTTCCTGTTCAAGACTGTTGCTGTGATGGTCTGTGCTATTGAGGTCTTGTTGAAGCAATTGTACTGAGTTTGTGGTCCACACCCTTCAGACTCAGACATACCTGCATTTGACATTTAAACCCTCTGCCACTTTTCAGCTGAGGGACCTTGGACAAGTTGCTCTTTTCTCTGTACTCAGTTTTCTCATCTGTAAAATGGGCTTGGCAGTACCCTCCTCTCAGAGTTACTGATAACGTCCAACAAATGTCAAGCACAGAGCCAAGTGCTCAGCTGTGAAATCCACCGTTAGGGCTCTTCTCCTCTAGTCCCTGCCTCCCACCTAAATTTCCTCACCCTCTTGGAAAGCTTTCATCAAGGGCTACTTCAGAAGACCTTAAGGCCATGGACAGGAAGCAGAACAGCATGAGGAGTGTGTTTGACCCTGGTCTACGAGAAGGGAATGGTGACACTAATAGGTAAACACTGCTCTGGGCAAATGATGTCTTCTAGAGCTTTAAAGGGTTCTCCAATCACCTGTGAGAGAGTGCCAACATCAAAAACAATGTTCTCTTCGTAGTCATCAAGACAGCGTCAATTGCTAAGTGTCTAAATTGTACCAGACACTTTATATCTCATTTCATTTGCACAAAAGTTCTATGAGGCAGGCATTCTAAGCTCCATCATTTTGGAGGTGGAGAAACTGAAGTTCAGAGGAGTTTAGTCACGTCCCCCAAGTCACAGAGCAATAGGAGGCATAGCAGATTAGAGATGCAAATTCAGGCCTGGGTGACTCTACCACCTTATCCCACTATGTTATGTTTGTAATCCTCAAAACAAACAAATAGGGAAGGGTAGAGGTAAGCAGTCAAAGGGTCTAAATGGGAAAGGAACAATTAGAGCAACTCCAAGTCCCATCTCTGCACACGAGAAAATATGCCTGGGACGTGAACTGAGAGAAAATATGATTTTGTGAAAAGAAGAGCCTTCATGGAGAAAACAGACCTGGGCTGGTGGGGAGGAGGGTGGAACGTGGCCTGGGAGAGGGCTGGAGGTGGGAGGAACGTCAGGGGATTTGGAGCAACATGATTTCCAGCTGGGCAGTGCTAATACCAGGAATCCATGAGCCATGTTGCTTCTCTCGCTGTCCACGCCGTGGAGCAGGGACTTGTGTGCGTACCTGTCTCTGCTTCCTTCCCCACTGATCCTTGAGTTATCAAAGGCAGGACGCAGTACATGTATCTCATTTATGCTTGTTTTCCCAAAACCATACAATGCCTGCTACAGAGTTAGAGGCCAACATACCTATTAAACAGGTGGATGAGCTGAAGATTAGCAGATTAATTCAGGAAGTCTTCCTGTAGGAGAGGGCCTAGAGCTAGGGCAAAAAAAAAAAAAAAGGGCAACAGAGATGTGATGTGGTAGAAGGAAAAAAGGCATAGAGCTGTTTTGTACAAGTGAGGAACTCATGTTTGTATGTGAGTGTGTATGTGTGTCATCGGGGCAAAAAGGCTTGCTCCCTTCCTAAATTTGAGAAAGTGTTCTGGCCGGGCGCAGAGGCTCAAGCCTGTAATCCCAGCACTTTGGGAGGCCGAGGCGGGTGGATCACGAGGTCAAGAGATCGAGACCATCCTGGTCAACATGGTGAAACCCCGTCTCTACTAAAAAAATACAAAAAATTAGCTGGGCATGGTGGCACGTGCCTGTAATCCCAGCT